CAAAATAAAACTAAATACCAAAATTGAATAAAAAAGAAAAAAATTGCCTTGACCATAGGAACATAATTCCCGGAAAATACGCGGTCTCACATAAGACCAGCGTTAAGAAGAAATATGATATACTTCTGCGTCTAGCGAGTGAGGTAACAGGAGCCTTCTGTTTTAAAGGTTGGAAACGCGCCTGCAACCGTCCGTACATATGGACATGTCATGGGTGCGGCGATAGTCAAATACTATAAATAACAATAGTGCAATTAAACTGTGGTAGGGCTACCCAACAGTGTTGCACGAATGGGCAGGTCCGTGCGGGTAAGTACCACGACCTCACAGAAGACCGGTGTCAATTGGAAGTGTTATACTTCTGCGTTTCGTCTGGTGAGTTAGGTAGTCGGGGTCCACTTTACTATAAGGTGGCAACGCATCTTTAACTCGTATAGTTAGTCTTGCATATGTCAATGGGCGGAGGTTATGGCTTAACATCACGTGAGCTGCCAGTTCGCTTGCCGCCTTTTCAGATAAAAAACATACGGAGGCCCGTAATGCTCGGCCTTGCTTAACCGATTTAAAGGATAATACTCAATTAGTCGGAGCATTCTTTTCATCGTAGCTCATATAAATGATTCCACTTTTGTTTGCAACGGTCTTTAGTCTTCCGGGCTAATTTTTTTGGCCGCTTTGATTATTTAGAGAAGCGATATGGTATGCAATAACAAAGAAAGAAAGAAAGAAAGAAAGAAAGAGATTTATTGACATAAAACAGACTGACGTACACAACAATCACTTAAAACAATAAAAATTAGACAAAAAAGACATGAACATAAAACTCCAATATGCATATTTTCCCTTTTCAATAAAGTACGTCGCGATTCATGCCAAAAAGGACATCACTCAGCAGAATGTTGCAGTGAAACTGCAACGCTGATTTTCAGTAATGACCAAAACAATATAAATATATAAATATAAGTGAAGTAGAAAAATCCATATCTGCTAGAAGGCCGGTCGTTTAATAATCGAAACTGTTTTCATAAACTGTTTTCTGAACAGTTTTAATAGTTTACGGTAAACGGGTCACGATAAACCAGTTTATCATGATGTCAACCAGTGGCTCGCCGTCGAGGTTAATACTGTTCTACTGACGATGTTTACTATCCGAAAGATAAAACTGTTTTAGAGTTTGGTTTATAGTCTAGTTTAGTTCTATGTCGATCTCAACTACTGGATTGTGGAGTACTGATACGCCGTTCGACTTAAGGTACGACGATATGAGTATAAAAATAATCTAATTAATTTATCATAAAAAAAGTAAAAAGTAAAGTATCGGAACAGCCTATACTTGTCTCACTGCTGGGCAAAGGCCTCCTCTATACAGAGGGTATCAGGGCATAGTCCACCACGCGGCCCCACTGCGGATTGGCGGACTTCACATATCTTCGAAATATATATTTTTTTGTTATTATTTCGAAAATATGCAGGTTTCCTCACGATGTTTTCCTTCACCGCGGAACACGTGATAAGTAAGCACTTAAAGTTAAAAACTTCATTGGTGCCGGCACCGGGGATCGAACTCAGGTTGCTCGAGTATATTGAATTAAAGGCGAGCGCCCGGACACCGAGCTATCACGGCTCTTTATATAATAAATAATCACCACTAAATATCGCCGAGACCGTCTTCCAACTGAGAAGTACATATCGGGTATTAAAATTGATAACATGTGTGATAAAAATGCAGATGTCTTTAGGTAGTGACGGATAAAATGAAAGCTTCGCACGTATGTACATAATGTACATATTTGAACAGGCGTTGGAAGACAACTGGCGATCCGAACGTCTAATGCTGATGGTGTTATTGAATGTAATAATATTAATACAATACAGCTCATCGAGTATTATGTGCAGACGTCTAATTAAATTATATTTTATACTAGCTGCTGCCCGCGACTACGTCTGCGTAGAATAGGCTGAAGGCGTAACATTCAGACAGAAAGAGAGATATACATAAAATATGTATATCTTTTGTAGCCTATGTCTTATTCTGATGTATAAGCTATATTATTGTAGAGTTTCATTAAAATCCATTCAGTAGTACTTGCGTGAAAGAGTAACAAACATCCATCCATACATAAAAACTTTCGCCTTTATAATATTATTAGTAAAGATACGCTTTAAAGTTTTTTTTTACTGTAAGAAGATGGCAATCGAGCTGGTGGTTCATCTGATGTTAAGTGATAACCACGGCCCGTGCACGTTTGCAACACTCGTAGGGTTAACGATGTGATGCCGCCTTTTAATAAAGTATAACACTTCCTCTTCATGCCGGTCTTCTGTGAGGTCGTGGTACTTACCCGGACGGACCCGCCCATTCGTGCAACAGCGAAGACTCGCTTGGCCCTGCCACAGGGTCCTTCCTAGCTTTTGTAGTGTGGAAAAAGTACGTATATGTGACCATCTATCTATGGTGAAATAGTGATAAGTTCCTGTAGAATGTTTAATAGAAACTTCACATAATAATCATGCTTCGCTGGACATTAGTTTTATAGGACATTATGTCACACAACCTTATTAGATGATAGAAATACGGGAGTTCTGTACAGAATGTAAATGCTCGGGGATCGAATCCAATACACAAGCTATTACGCATATACACACAGTAACTGCGCAAATGGAAACGGGATATATGACAAATGCACGAATTAAACTTTTATGTGAAAAGTTGCCAAGCGAGCAGGCGGTTCACCTGATGTTAAGTGAATTCCGCCGCCCATGGACATCTGCCACACCCGAGGGTTGCAGATGCGTTCACAACATTTTGAAAATGGGGCTCCGGCCACCTCATTCACCAGACGAAACGCGAAAGTATTATGCTTCCACTTTACGCCGGTCTTCTGTGAGGCCGTGGTCGTACTTACCGTGGTTACTTACCCGGACGAGCCTGCCCATTCAGCAACAGTCGAGGCGTGCTGCGTGGCCCTACCACTGCAATATCTTGAACGTGTTACAGCCAAGACCGCGGGCTAGATTAAGGAGGCTTTTACGCTTTACTAAATAATATAACATTCGTTAAAGTAATGGAGTAACTTGTAATAAACTTTTATAAAAAAAGCAACTAATACCCTAGCAACAACAACAACAAACGTTCTATATCACTTTACTGGTTTATTAAGCAAAGACCATTATGACAATAACATAAATTAATACCGTCGTCCAATAAGAGCGCGATGTTTTTTATCTTTATCACCGACAATGCCTCGGTTATTTTACTGAATTGTTGCCTAACGTCCACTTATATGAAATGAAAAGGTATTTTATTTTTATTTTATTTCAAACAAAATCCACAGCTCTTTGTTACATCGTACGTACATCTTATGATCTTAAATTATAGCCAAAAACGGATTTACATTATTTAAATAGTATTTTCAATTTATAACGGACATGTTGAAGACAAAGTAGTTGGTACTAAAATACATATTTTTAAACATCTAGAAAAGAATTACAAGAAAATTAAAAGATTTTCAACATACATAATGCTCGTATGCGCCTCGAGTGAAAAGTTGCCAAGCGAGCAGGCGGTTCACACCTGATGTTAAGTGAATTCCGCCGCCCATGGACATCTGCCACACCCGAGGGTTGCAGATGCGTTCACAACATTTTGAAAATGGGGCTCCGGCCACCTCATTCACCAGACGAAACGCGAAAGTATTATGCTTCCACTTTACGCCGGTCTTCTGTGAGGCCGTGGTTACTTACCCGGACGAGCCTGCCCATTCAGCAACAGTCGAGGCGTGCTGCGTGGCCCTACCACTGCAATATCTTGAACGTGTTACAGCCAAGACCGCGGGCTAGATTAAGGAGGCTTTTACGCTTTACTAAATAATATTAAAGTAATGGAGTAACTTGTAATAAACTTTTATAAAAAAAAGCAACTAATACCCTAGCAACAACAACAACAAACGTTCTATATCACTTTACTGGTTTATTAAGCAAAGACCATTATGACAATAACATGAATTAATACCGTCGTCCAATAAGAGCGCGATGTTTTTTATCTTTATCACCGACAATGCCTCGGTTATTTTACTGAATTGTTGCCTAACGTCCACTTATATGAAATGAAAAGGTATTTTATTTTTTTTTTATTTTATTTCAAACAAAATCCACAGCTCTTTGTTACATCGTACGTACATCTTATGATCTTAAATTATAGCCAAAAACGGATTTACATTATTTAAATAGTATTTTCAATTTATAACGGACATGTTGAAGACAAAGTAGTTGGTACTAAAATACATATTTTTAAACATCTAGAAAAGAATTACAAGAAAATTAAAAGATTTTCAACATACATAATGCTCGTATGCGCCTCCCTCGCACGCGGGCATGTGTGTGTGTATGTATGTATGTATGTGTGTGTGTGTGTGTGTGTGTGTGTGTGTGTGTGTGTGCGTGCGCGTGTGTGTGTGTGTGTGTGTGTGGGTGCGTGCGTGTGTGTGCGTGTGCGGGTGCGTGCGTGTTTGTTAAATGAAAACTCCGTCATTTATGAACCTTTTTAAAAATTATTTTGGCATTGCAATTAGCTCGAATATTGTCCAAAATGTATAGTGAGCGAGGCTTTTGAAAACGGTTTCGTTTTTTTAACAAAATGTTACTTGCGTTATGTCTTGCAGGGTTAAAATCGATACTTCCATACCTACTAATATTATAAATGCGAAAGTAGCTCTGTCTGTTTGTCTTTCTTTCACGCCAAAACTACTGAACCGATTTAAATGAAATTTGGCACACAGTCCAGAGCGTGAGAAAGGACATAGGCTATTTTTATAGGAAAAAAAGTGTTGTAAAGGGTTGAAAATATCTTTATTTAAAATATATATACAATTTTTAAAGAAAGATATTCATTTAAGGACTTCAACGCGAGCGAAGCCGCGGGCGAAAAGCTAGTTTAGTATAGCATCAAGGCCTATGTGAGATTGGTACGTGCACAGGTTGATAATGATTTTGGCCCCTACCTTTTGTATTCGCGAGGTCGTACTGCCACGCCTCGGGCAGGAGATGGAGGAACACGTCGCCAAGTAGACCACCGACGGCGAAGCTCAGTAGAATCCTCAGGGTAGCCGCACCGGCTGCAACGAAGAGATGGAGATACAATTATTCGCTTGTAAAGGCGTGATAGCCCAAAGTTTTCGGGTTTTTTTTTATGTGAAAAGTTGCCAAACGAGCAGACGGTTCGCGGATGTTAAGTGAATACAGATGTTGCAGATACGTTGACCTTTTGAAAATTGGGCTCCGGCCACCTCACTCACCAGACGAAATGCGATAGTATTATACTTCCACTTTACGCCGGTCTTCTGTGAAGTCGTGGTACTTACCCGGACGAGCCTGTCCAGTCGTGCAACAGCCGAGGCTGCTGCGTGGCCCTACCACCGTAAAATCATAAGGCCGTGATAGCTCAGGTTTTAGGGTTCCGTGCGAATAGGGTAAAACGGGACCCTATTACTAAGACTCCGCTGTCTGTTTGTCCGTCTGTCACCAGGCTGTAGTATCTCATGAACCGTGATATATGAACCGTTGAAATTTTCACAGATGATGTATTTCTGTTGCCGCTATAACAATACTAAAAAACGGATTAAATAGTATTATTAAGGGGGTACACATAAAACAGACATGATTTTTTTTGCCGTTTTTATAGATAACGGTACGGAACCCTTCGTGCTTCGTAGTCGGACTCGCGACTCGCATTTCGCCGGTTTTTTATGAATGAATGAATGAATGTCTTTATTGCCAGAATATGGCAGTACATTGTGATCTTAATTATAATAATTTGGTGCAACATATTCAGCTGACTTCAGCATGCAATTGTCAATTTCAAATAAAATTATTTACATTAAAATATGTAAAATATAATCAATTATTCACATTTAAACATAATAAATTATTCCATTAAAACATTAAAATTATTATAAGGATAGTACCCGGAGGACCGAGCTTTGCTCGGTTTGTTTTTTTTTTTTTGGTATTTTGGATGTGGTGTATTTTGGAAATTACATTTAGATACAAATTACTGAGTATTTAAATATGCATAATATTTTTCGATCTTACCGACGTAATAATAAGAAAATATGAACTGATGTTTTTCACAAAAGAAAGAACTTTAAAAAAAAGGGAAAAAAATAACAAAATAACAAATTGACAAGAAATTAAAAATAAAGAAAGCAATGATCTGGAATCGAAAAAAAGTAAAAAAATAAATGTGTAAATGATCGTGACGCGAACCACGGCCGTCTGTTTTGGGGCCCTTTGGGTACGGCATGCTAAAAAGGCTCCAGAGATATAGTGTTGCACCGTAGACACGGCCAACTTAAAAGGGTCTCTGAGTTACATCGATTGTATGATCCATAAAAATATCCCTTAATAGTCGTAATAGGAGAAGACGGTTAATATTTGACTATTCCTCAGCAAGGTACTGTGCGTAACAAAACTATGACATACATGCAATTGTATGCATTTAGGTTGATGGTTAAAGCTTCCTGTTTTAAGCCATTGCATTATTACTGGGACTTATCAGGGTTCCGTACCCAAAGGGTAAAACGGCACCCTATTACTAAGACTCCGATGTCCGTCTGTATGTCCGTATGTCTGTCCATATGTCACCAGGCTGTATCTCATGAATCGTGATAGTTAGACAGTTGAAATTTTCACAAACGATGAATTTCTGTTGCCGCTATAACAAAAAATACCAAAAAAATATAAATAAGTGGGGCTCCCATAAAACAGACATAATTTTTTGGCCGTTTTTATAGATAATGTTGACAGTACATTTATTTATTTATTTATTTATTTATTAGGTCTGCCAGTAGATGTTACATTAAAAACAATATTACATGAAACATGAATTAATTACAACTAAATGTACATCTAATTAAGAGGCAAACACAGCATGCTTAAAAATTAAAACAAAAAAATAATAACAAAAAAATAAAAAATAATAATAAACACAGTAGTAGTGTTTTTGACAATATGTAAGTGTAATACTTCTATATTGAATAAAGATAATAAAACATGATTTTTTTTAATGTGATAGAGTGGCAGACGAGCTGGCGGTTCACCTGATGTTAAGTAATAACCAGCGCCCATGGACATTTGTAACACCTGTAGGGTTGCAAATGAGTTGCCATCTTTAAGACATCTAATGAGCATTAAATATCGGTCAACAAACCAAAGATGGGATGATTTATGTCCGAAGCTATGGGAGACCAGACTTATTTGTCACTTTTACGTGTAACCCCGAATGTCCCGTAATTAAAGCGGAACCATTATCTGATCAGCGGTCTTTCAATCTTCATGACGTAATTTCAAGGGTATTTCATTAAAAGCTGAAGAAATTCATAAAATTATTCACCAAAGACGAAATATTCGGAATATTTTATGTGTATGATAATTTTTAGTTTTAAAAATTTTGTTAAATACCCGTGCGAAGCCGGGGCGGGCCGCTAGTTTATATTATAAATCATTTTATCTAAAAGCCATCTGGTTATTTTCGTCTTAAACGAAGCAAGGGGCAATTGTTTAATTTCTAACGGTAATTTATTGTACAAAGTTGTCAAGCGAACAGGCGAATACCGCCTCGCACAAATGAATACCGCCGCCCATGTACTTCTACAACATCTCAGATATACCGTTATAAATATTGGACAGTGATAGATAGATAGCTCAGTGCCCGGGCGCTCGCCTTTAACTCAACATACTCGAGCAACCTGAGTTCGATACCCGGTGTCGGCACCAATGAAATAGTTGATTTTAAGTGCTTAAGTCTTTTCACGTGCTCTGCGGTGAACGATCACATCGTGAGGCAATCTGCTTATTTTCGAAATAATAATTGAAAGTAAAATTCGAAGATACGTGAAGTCTGACAATCCGCAATGGGGTCGCGTGGTGGACTATGTACAGATGAGATCTTGGCCATATACATATAGGCTGTTACTTTCATTTTATTCTTAAAAGACTTGTTACACTCGCAGTGTCATTATGTAACAGCAAAATATATACAAAATACACATACAGCGTGTCGTTTCAACCGCGACAATAAATGACGACACATATAGAGGACAACTTTTTAAAATTGTATTAAATAATTACATTCTTTAAACATTAATATTTAACGAATTATTAAATTTTCCAAAACAAACAATTTTAGAGCATCCTTACGTATAAAACTGTAACGTAAAGTTCCTTTGTAAACGTCACAAAGCATATATGAATGGGTTGAATGAATTTAAAAGAGACAAAAAATACTGTTAGAAGGAGAGACTTGTAATGCGACGCTGTGGCAACGAATGAAAAAGTCTCTGAATGTATGAATTAGTCAGTTGTAGTTGTACAGGATGTTACAAATTTTGTTTCTTTTTACTTAATTAGTTTGTTTTGAAAAATATATTTTTTAAAGTTTATATTTTTTTATTATTATTGGCAAGTAGCGTTAGACGTGTGTTCATTTATTGTAGTGGTTGTAACGACACGCTGTATATGGTACATGGTTCAAGTATGTATACAGTAGTTTTCTTCTTTCATAGAAGTAAATATTTTAACTTAGTTAATGTGAATTAAAATCTGTAGAAAAAGTACGAAAAGATTGTCGCCGCTGTGGGAATCGAACCCACGTCTTCGGCATTCGCGGCCTGACACTCTAGCCACTGAGCTAAACGGCTAATTGCCACACCGACGAAAATCTTCACGTCTTTCTCTACATGGTTTCTTAGCATTTGAAGGAATTTTTCGTACTTTTTCTACATATTTTAGTGTTCAATCTTAAGTGCAAATATTAGCACCATAAACAATTTAAATTAGATAATGTGTTTTTTTTTTCGTTAATATCATAACATAAAGTACGATGGAGTTGACAACTACTTCGTCACGCCTCATAAAAAAGAATGTAGTAATGAAACTTAATACCTTCAGTTCTGTCGCGTGGTTTCAACGTGGATACGAGTAACACTTCAGATTTGATAGATCTGAACTTATCTTGGATTTGTTTTCGATATCGCACGGGATTTCCCATCGGGAAGAATAAAGAGGTATTTCTGTCGCTCTTCACGTCAGAAATAGAATATTACTGAATGGAAATATTCCCCACCGCTCAAGATTAAGCACTTACGACCGGCTGCCTACGTTTACTGGAGATAGAATTTTGACGTAAGTATTATGGACCTAATGTCCAGTACCTATCGCCAGTAACCAAATCTATTTATTTTAAAAAAAAGAACTGCTCTCATTTTATTTAACATAAATTCCACATGGACAAACACCCAGATTCGAAACAATTAACTGTGGGTCGCACAAATAGTTGTCCCGTGTGGGAATCGAACCCACGACCCCCGACGCCGTAGCCAATACCTTGACAATTGTGCCACGGAGTCATCATATTTGAAGATAGAACATTGACACGGCCGTAAAAGAACCACGTGAAAGAGATTGCGTTGTTTGAATGAGAACAGAATGTTGCTAACGCAAATGACAACCTCGCAAGGATAACAATCCGTAGAAAAATAGGCCAACTAAAAGTAAAATATGTAATTTAATCAAAAAGTAAAATTTAGTGTTTTTGCTGTGGTAGGGCCGGTATCAGATTCTGCTGTTGCACGATGGGCATATTTGTCCGGGGAAGTATCGCGCTCCTCAGAAGACAGGCGTGAAATGGAAGTAATTAAAATACTTATGCATTATACTTTCGCGCTTCGACTGGTCAGTGAGGTAACCGGGGCCCACTTTTTAGGGTTCCGTACCAAAAGATATAAAACGGGAGCCTACTACTAAGACTCCGCTGTCTGTTCAGGCTGTATCGAATGAACGAGTAAGAGCGTTGAAATTTCTGCCCCGTGGCAAAATTATTAGGTTGACAGTATCCGATAAAAATTGATAGTAAAGTGTTAATAAGATCGTGTAACGATAAATCCAATTGCTACTGATCGATAGATTATTTTAATCTTTAATTGTCGCTATCCTTAATCGCTATAGCCTTTTATTAGAGAATCAATCATGAACAGTGATGATTTGTAATCGCGCTATCTATTAAATTATTACGTTGCCTGCGATAATTGTTCAATAAGACTAGAAATTGAATTAGACT